ATTCAGTTTAGGGTTTTATTTATTAGTTATGAATTTCTGATTCATGTTTTATGAGATAATTTAACTGACAAAGAAATGAAATTGTGAATTTGTGATTTATGATAAATAATTTATGTTGTATGAGTTATGCGATATAATTTTTGATTTGAGAATTTAGGTTTAGGAAATTAGGAATAAGTGAAAAAAATTAATAGAGAATATGTTTAGCTCAATTTAATCATGTATACTCTGTTTTTAAATCAATTTTAATTGAAAAATAAATTAGGGCATTTTACATATTATGGAACGTGTTAGTGCATTTACATATTTTGCAGATTATATTTTCATATGTGTAGAATTTTCACGTGTTAGTGCATTTACATATATATAGAAGAATTTTTAATATTATTTAATTAAATATTAATAAATGACATCTCATTATGATCGTTGATTGTTGACGGTCAACAGTCAATAGTCAACCACCCTAACTGACCTCCGGTTTTGGATTCGCCAGTGCTTGTGTTTAGAAGTTAGTTGCGATGGAATAAATTTACATTTAATAAGGTAGTTATTAAATTTTTTTCAAGAAGTCGATGTTTTAATTCATAATTTATTGTGCCAGAGTCAAATGAAATCAATTAAAAGCAAAACAAACACACGTATGTTTAGTAGTTCATCTTCTTCATATCAGAGGTACATGTTGAGGGTTTCATTATACTCACTAACAAAGATAAAATGGTGTTGAGAATCATATATATTGCGGTATTTAATTCCATTTGCTCACGCAGTTTTTATCTCTCAGCGTTAACATCATCTAAGTAGATTGAAATTAAAATAAATAAAATAAGCTCAACACTCTAAAATGATGAAGGACGTAGATTTGAAAATAAGCTAGGTAATCCTGATTTATAAAGATTTCTTAAACAAAGGGATTGTAAAAGATTCGCATTGATTTCAAGTTTAAAAATACATATAACAAATTCTTTTGAAATTTCACAATTTTTAATGATATTCTTATGAATTTTGTAGAAATCTATTTAAATTCACGAAATTTATAACCTCTTAAAATTAATCAAAATTTCAATTGATGACACCCTCCTAGGTCAATCTACGATCTAGGATATGAGTATTTAGTTTAGATTTGTGAGTTTACAATTTCAAGGGGTGCAGCAAATTGCTTCTAATTTTAGGTTCGATAACAGAGATTCATGTTTTTGCATGGCATTGTTAGCTGAGAATTTTGAGGATTTCAAAACAGGAAGAAGCCATATGTATAGAATTTTTTTTCGTGGAATTTTTACAGGTGCTGCAGTGGCAGCAGCAGATTCAAACCATTTTTCCCAACTTCCAATGAAATTTCGCGAAGTGTTATTTGCAAACCAATTATGTAAGTGTAGCTCCGTTCTTCAAACACATGGGAACGTTCAACTCTGACTCTACTTGCTAGAATCATATTATAAAAAAAAAAATAATAATAATAAAAAGAAGAAATTTTTGGTAATTTTTACTTATTTTTTAAAAAATAAATTTCAAAATCTCAAGATATTTCGGCAAAATATCTTTTCAAATAGAAAAGCATTTTAAGTTGGAATATCAAGCTTTAACGTGATGTCAATCAAAGTAGGTAAATGTCTTGACTTCAAATTTCATTATCACCCATTTTAAATGAGTTGTGCCTGTGTTACATTTTGAGGTAAAAGATGAATATTACCTATAGGTGAAATGTTGAACAGAATATATAAATGATATAAATATAATTAAGTGGTTCGACACCTCTCTAACAACATATATTTTTGATAGAGTGGTTTGACACGTTAAAGATAATATTTAAATAATATACATATAGCTAGCTATCTTTAACAATTTGAATTTTTAAATCAAATGATTCAACAGGGTATCATAACTCATAATGCTATGATGAGCCATTCGATCTGTCTAAAAGCTCAAATGACAGTATATAAAAAAAAATGATTCACCATCCTTCTCAACATGTTAAACCCCTCTCTGGTAATGCTTTTTCACCCCTCATAAAATTATTTTTTGATCGTTATTTCACTATTTTAGTCGGTATTTTTTATTTTTTCACTCACAGGTGGCTCACACTTTTTTCCTAACAGTCAAAAATCAATTCTCATGATGACTACTGAACAAGTCTTAAGAGGGGAATGCTCACGAAAATATCTTTCAAATTAAATTACTGCAAATGTACAATTTGTTAACAAATAATAATGTTGATTTAAGTTCAAGTATCGTCTCATAGAGATTGATTTAGTTCGATTTTAATTATCATGACCTTAATTGAAACAATAATAAGGTGATGTGTTTGTTTGTGACGAAATTATAACCAAAATGATCTATTTATGTAATTATGAGTAATTTAACTAAATTAAATGCAAGTTAATGTATTCTAATGAATGACAAGCGCAATAAGATTGTGAATTCCTATGCAATAATCATTTTTAACCTTAATTCTACACATTGACAATACAGTTGAATTTTGAATAATCAATATTCCTATTCTATTCACCAATATTTCTTGAGTAAAATTAAACATATTTTTATATATGATCCGACTATATTTCTATGACGTATACAAATATACAAGAGTGCGTGAATTTTTATGAAAACTTAAATGTTCACATAGAGTATAACGACAAGGGCGGACCCACGTTGGGTCATGTGGGTTTAAATGACCCCACAAAATTTTAGTTTTTTTTGTTGTTGTTTTAACCTGTTTTCGACCTATTTTAATACATACCAAATGAAATCGAAATATCACATTCTTTATATCATTTCTAAGCGCTCATGTCCTAATCTTTCGCTTCTTAATGGTGTGCGAAATGATTAACCATAGCAAAAGTTACGATGTATCAAAGTAGGCCGTTCCAAATTAATATTTCGAAAATTATTTTAAAATTTGCTGATGATCGTATACTATCTAAATCTACAAATCGCTTGCATCATCCAGAAGTTCGTTACGAAAACTACATCGTAGTTATATCGAATGGTCCAAACAGATATCGAAAATAGTTAAATATGCATCAAACATACGTATTAAAAGAGGCGTTTAACTCGTAATTTTTTTAAAAAAAATTTAATTATTTCATTAACGTTTATTATTTTTTCACGATAAATTTTTCAATATAATTTACATTATTTTATTAGGAAAATTTACATTAAAAATTATGTCAAAAATTCTAAAATTATTACGGATTAAATGTAATTTGAATTACTTTCAAATTATTTTTACATTAAACTTAAATTTCATTTACTTTCCACATCCAATTTGATTTAGTCGTCGTTAGCTCAACATCCATAAATGACATGGTAAACAAAACTATACATGTAGCAAAATTCATTTAACAATATTAATAATGATAGAATTATAAGACACTTTCAAGACGTCAAAATGCGTATTAACTTATTTTTATAAATATTATATTGTTTTAAAAAATTACACATTAATTTTTGAATTAAGCACAACCCGCAAGGATGACCTCGCAAGTGATCGCACTCTCACATGCCCGACGAGGTTTCCATGAATAAAATAATTCTGACCCCATGTGTTTGTATTGTGTCAATCCCACGATCATTCATGTGGGCACTGTAGTACAACTCTAGTTTTGACTCCACAACCCAAAACGGTTGGGTCCGCCCCTGTATAATGATATATTTTTATACCCTATCAGACCCTGTGACGATTTACACTTTGTCGAACCTATTTTTCTTCTTTCAAATGCATAAAAGAAGCCACCAAATTCAAGTAACTACCGTGCACAATAATTGTAGATAAATAATAATCATGTAAATCATTCAGAATCCAAAAATGTATTTTGAGTGTCAAATATGTAAAACTAAATATTAAAAACTCATATTACAAGGTTCATCGTTTTCCCGGCCAAAGAAAATTAGCCTAATATGCTATGAAGAAGAAAGAAAAAGATATAAAAGTTGTTCATCACCCGAAAATTTTTGAATTTAATTTTGATGTTCTTGAATCTTAATGTGTTATTTGCCTCTTTTTGCAATTAACTCTCCGCACCCTAATTATATTTTGAGAGCTGATATTTGTAATCCCTCCAAAGAGTCACAAAAGATCTTTGAAAATCGTGTGTTTTATAGGTCAAACGAAAGTTTCATTGTTGGAATTGAATTCCAAAGGAAACAGAATTTTCGGGCCGAATTGGCCTGAGCGGGCGCCCAATAGAAAACTGGGGAAATTGCCTAGACATACAAAATAACTCCTGTAATTGGGATTAAGGGTCGGGCAGCCACTAAGACTGTATAACTGGACAATGGGAGGTTGTCCAATTATAAAAACTTCTAAAATTTTCCTTTTAGACCTATTCTTCATTTTTTCTTCTATCTTCGTTCTCCATATTAAATTATTTCGATTTTGGTCCTTCAACTTTTATTCAAATACATATTTGTCTCCAAACTTCCATCCGTTGGTCAACTGATCTCTCTCTCTCTCTCTCTATTTTTTTTTTCAATTGCTTAACGAGGGGTCCGAAAGTGAAACAATATGAGATTAATTTAAGTAAAATTTAATAGTAAAACGTCACAAAGGCTTAGTAATACAACCCAAATAAATGCACAAAAATGCACTTATCATGGATCCCACATTGTTATGATATAAAAATATACAAACTATCATGTATAAGCTTGAATTACTTTGATGGACCTTTTAAATTCAAATCCAAATCTTAATAATTTCTATTAGGCTCATCAAAATATTCATTAACATTTACAGTGGCGTGCTTTAACTTAAAATAGAATTTCAAAACTCCAATAATGACGTGTGTGAAAGAAAAATGACTTCTTGACAAGAAGTCATTTTTCTAACTCAGGAAGAGAAGATAGAAAAAGGGACCAAAAGAATCCAAAAAAGTACTTGAAAATTGTATATAAGCCGACCCGAGTTAGTCTTGATGGGGCCCACAAATGTACAGAAGTTAGGCTTCTTCGCTTCTTATTTCTCTGAAGTTACTTATAAATTGTCCACACCTTTCCTTTGTGAATCGTGTGTTCAATTAGTGATTTAGTGCTTGTCTTTTCCAACTATCTCTCTCTCTGCTATACAAAAACTTCTCTGTCCTTCACAACTTCATTGCCCATAGACTTCCAAGTTTTTTCCAGGTACTTTACTTGCATATTTTGTGAGTCGAGATTGTACAATATCATGAAATAACTATGTGTTGTACTTGGTGTACATAATTTATGGGATGTGAGGGGTGTGGCATAAATTATGTACACTAAGATTTACACAATTATGTACAATAAGACTTTTCCTTTAACTATGTATGTGAATGTGGATTGCAGGGAGGTTTTCACATTGAAAGAAAAAACAGTGAAATGACCAACCAAAATGTGGTGATTTCTGAGGCAAAAACAGGACTTGCAGTGGCAACTGCAGTTGCTGTATCTGAATCTAATTTCTACTCGCCCGCCATGCCTAAGCCACTGGTCGCAGCGAATGGCTACTTTCCAAGAAAAAAGTCGATTAAAAAGCTTGAAACTAATGGAGGAGGAGGTGCCAGGATTAATGCCTTTATTGATTCAATGCGGGCTTCTTCACCAACTCGTCGAGCCTCTGAAACCGAAGATCAAAAGTCTTGGATTGTAAGCATACTTACAAGTACTTATATTGAAAATATGCAATTCTTGGCCTCATAATATATACTTAAAACAGATTCATCATCCTTCGGCTTTAAGCATGTTCGAGGATATCATGAATGCTTCAGAGGGCAAGGAAATAGTGGTGTTTCTTGATTATGATGGTACATTATCACCCATTGTTGAGGATCCTGACCGTGCTTTCATGACTAATGAGGTTAATCAATTTCCTCATTAAACAAATCTTCACTTAAAATTCATTCCAACTTACGTTTATTAATTTCGATCCATTTTTAATTATAATCAGATGAGAGAAGCAGTCAGGGATGTAGCCAAATATTTCCCCACAGCCATTGTTAGTGGAAGGTGCAGAGCCAAAGTGCATAATTTTGTGAAATTATCAGAGCTTTATTATGCAGGGAGTCATGGATTGGACATTCAGAGACCAACAAAAGGACACAAAAAACAAAGAAAAGTTAGTCCCTAATGGTCCATTCAGTACTATAAATTTTGTAGCATAATTTATATATATATATATTTATTTATTTTTATATCTGTTTAGGGAAATCAATCTGTCTTCTGCCAACCAGCCAGAGAATTTTTGCCAATGATTGAAGAGGTTTCCATCTCTTTCACTTTCATGGGAAAATTCCAAAATTTTATTACTACAGTGTCTCAATTCTAATCAGTCAATTTTCAGGTACACAAAATTTTGTTGGAGAAAATGAAATTTATCCCAGGAGCAAAAGTTGAAAACAACAAGTTCTGTCTGTCCGTACACTTCCGTTGCGTCGATGAAAGGGTAAAAAAACGTTCTTTAATATGATGCCATTTCAGATTTTCTTTTGACGCATAAATTTGAAAGAAATTTAATTTCTTTTTCCGTTTATTAGATATGGGGCGAACTAGGAGAGCAAGTTAGGGAAGTGCTTAAAAACTATCCAACGCTCAGATTGAGCCAAGGGAGGAAGGTTTTGGAGATACGTCCCGCTATAAAATGGGACAAGGGGAGTGCACTTGAATTCTTATTAGAGTCGTTAGGTGAGAGTCGAATATTAATTTTTAGTTGTGATTGATATCAATCCCATGTTTACTTGTAGTAGTAATTTTATTTTATTTTAATACTTTTTTTTTGGTCAATTGGATCTTCAGGCTATGACAAATCAAATAATGTTTTACCAGTTTATATTGGCGATGATCGCACCGATGAAGATGCATTCAAAGTACATTCAATTCTCTCAGTTGAGATTTCTACCATAAGAAAAGTAACTGATGGTGACTTTTGTTTATTAGGTTTTGCGCAAGAGAGGACAAGGTTTAGGAATTCTAGTGTCTAAAGCTCCTAAAGAAACAAAAGCCTCGTATTCTTTGCAAGAACCATCCGAGGCAAGTAGAATGAAAATGCTTTAGATTTATTTAAGGAGGTTTTGACTTAATTTACATGTTACATTGTTAATGCTTTATTATTTCATGTTTTACAGGTTATGTACTTCCTCAAACGTTTAGCCGAATGGAAAAAATCCTCCTTACCAAGGCATTAGGATGAGCTCGCCCTCCACAAACATAGAGGAAACATTCGACCCCTACCCTCAAAGTTTTATTAGGGGTACGGGTGGTGCTGAATTTATGTACCTAATTTATTCGAATTGTAATGATCCCAAAGGGAACCTTTCCTTTTTTTCTTTTTTGGATATAATGCAAGAGCATTATTCAAGTTGTTATCGTTAAAAAAATGTATTCACGTTGCTATAGTTTGCCTTTTCGCATGTGGGTTAAGATGTTGTCTTGATCGTAGATATACACTTAGCGACCAAATCATACGACTCTAAATAATGTCGAAAATCTTTAAAAATGTGCTAAAAAGTATAATAAGCTTCAAAAAAGGCCAAATGGAAAACTCCTTGCACAAAATGTGAAAATCTTAATGAGAAGGAATAATTCTTTCTATCCAGGAATTTCAATTCAAAATTACAAATTGTCACGCAAAGAATCAAAAGTATATAATCCAAATAATCAAAGCTGGTCAATATAATTAAGCATATTGGACTCCTACTTCTTGATCTAAGAGACTAGGGAAAAGAAAAAAAGAAAGAAGGAAGCCACAAACACTATTTGAAATTATATTTAATTTTATTCACTTAATATTGTTTATTACTATTCAATTCTTTACAAGATACATGCTAATAATAAATTTTAATTTCTTATTAGACAATATTTTGTAGAATAACAAACAAGATTTTAACTCTTTTCTTCTTCTCTAATATTATTCAATTTGGTTGAAATACCAAACACGTTTGCCATTCCATCTTAATGGACATAATTCCATCAAGTTCGCTTTACATTATACTATCCAAATAATACTATCCCTCACATTATTAAGTTGAGAACACTAAATTTCTTTGTTTTTGGTTAGTTTGGCAGGATTTTTGCTTCTTGTAGAAGAATTTTATGAGAAAATTACCTTTGGCCAACTTTCTTATAAGCATTTCTAGTTAGACTAAATACTTTAAGAAGAGTATTCAAACATGTTTAAAAACAGTTTCTTAACCTCGTAAACTTTTGACTTTTTCAAAATCTTGATATACGGGCCCTAAGTAGCTAATATAAGGTGTATTCCTTTGGAACCATATATGATAAATATTAAAACATCTTCACATTTGCCCCCCAAATCTAGTATAATTTTAAAATAAGTACGAACAATTACTCATGCATATATACTCGTTGCAAAACCTCCAACGACGGATGGTGTAGATGAATTGGCACAAAAGATATATGCACATGCATTGATTCATTCAGACATTAAAGGTTGATAACTTTAGGCAGTAAAACACTATTCAATTTCTTAATTAATCATGATTTTTTTTAGTTTGTAAACCATACTTCCACTATCTTAAACAATAATTAAGGGATCTTAATAGTTGTAAAGACATGTTGGAGTCAGAATTAACAGCAAGATTCAACCCAAAAAAATTAATGAATACATACTTGCAGGAAATTAAGGTTTAATTATATTTTATAATATCTTGTGTTTATCCATTGCGCATTTAATTAATTACAAACATAAATGCGGAGAATCCAAAGATGATGTATATCCATCTACTAAACTAAATCCCAGTTTGATTTAGCCATTAATTAAAATTTATTATATTTTGATATAAATTAATGAAATATACAATTGAAAAATGGATAAAAAAAATTGTAAATATCATGAAATGTATAATTAAATTTAATTAATAACTTTGACTGACAGCTAAATCTCAACTAAAAAATCAAGTTACAGATATGCAATATGACTGCATTTAGGGTATGGTAAAAAAAAGTCAGATCATGAACATTATTGTACTTCAAGTTAACTGAACCAAGATGTTCTGTCATGTCTTAGAAGAATAATAGATCAATTATTGGTAGCATAAAGGCATATTAGGCAACTATCTTAGGCTGTCAATGTGTGATTCTTAGACTGCTACCATTGTGGCAAAGTCTAGTCTCTTAAGAGTCCATCCTGAAAAAAACAAGCGTGCTCGATGGACAGGGCTGACTTGGGCCCTATCCGTCTAGGGGTCGATGTGGCGCCTCTCGTTTATAAGGGGCGCCACATTGCCCCCCTTTCGAACAGCTTTATTCCTGAAAAAATATTAACCCTAGGAAAAGGGTAAAATAAAAATGTACTAAGTTACATGCATTGGTAACACTACTAAAGAGAGATGAAGATAGAATGTGTAATAAAGTGACAACAACAGTCAAGAATAGACAAGAAATTAAATATAACATTATTTTTTTAACTTAAATATAATATTATTTAAGATGAGCAAGTAAAAGTTTTAGGTTCAAATGCGTCGCGAGCTTTTTGAATTATTCATATTTTAGGCTTTAGTATAAAAAGGGGGAAAAAAAATCTACCCTACCTATACATAAAAGGGCATATTGAAAACTATTTAAATAATATGCATGTGACTTTATCAAATAGTTTAAGTTTTTCTATCAATTGGTTCAACAATATAAAACCAAAAAGTTGCCGAAATTTTTCATTACATATATAATATGTTGGGGAAGTGTTTATATATATAGAGAGAAATAAGATATCGATAAGTAGATGGTACTTTAAATTTCTATAAAATGTGCGGAAAAAAATGTTTGACCAAAGTGTTTATAAATACTCTTCAAACCCTAAGAAACTCATAACTTAAAATTTCTAAAGAAATGCAAATTGCTAGTGGACAAGTGATCCTAGGAACAACATATAAAATAAAGAAGAGATCTTGAAAAAAATTAAGATATTAGATCCTTAATGGGTGGAACGAGGGCATTGCTCTTGGACACAAGGACAAGTCTACACTATTGGGCAGTTGGATTCGTGAGAGCCCACCTCAAAAGATGAAAAGAGTATATTAAAGGAATTTGTTAATGGATTCAATGCCTTTAACTTTAACGATATATAATATTAAACAGTACTGTGGACTCTTTAGATCCTATAATTTTAAGAAAAATTTTGAGGGGTTGATAAACTTTTCAAACTGAAATAGGCATTCTCAGACGATTAAATAAAGAAGATTTTAATTTCTTTTTATTTAAAATCTGTCGACTAATCATACGAGACGTGGAATAATGGTTTATATTTTGCAGAGGGAGTTAGGTAGTGAAAGCGAAAACCCACTAAGATGAAGAAGAAAGCCATTGTTGAATTAGGAGTTGGATTCCACTTAAAAAGTGTTTGATTTCTGTGAAGAAGACATGGGGATACCAATTACATGCTTCATTCCTATGTAGTTTAAAAAAAAGAACTACTTTTTCTTAGACGTGTAAAGTATGGCTTCCACTAGATTCAACCTATAATTGATGCCCTAAATCGAAATAAACTAAGTGCTGTAAACACCAATTATTGATGGAAAAGAAACACATCCCGCAAGAACCACCTTAACCTCATAAATCCGTTGCCAGGTTTTGATAAAAATCAGTTTTTAGTATGTTTTGATAAAAGATGAGGAAATATATAGATAGATTGTTAATAAAAATCGCAGATTCCATTAAATGTGTGATTGAAAATAAAATTTAAAAAAATAAGTTTTAAAAAATGGGGACCAAATGTGGACTAAACAAACCATTAGCATCTTTCAATCAATTTATTCAAGAAAAATTCCAATTTAGATCTTCTTTATGGTTATGTATTTCAAAAAATATTTTATGCCCAATACCAAACTTTTTTTTTTCTTGATTATCGATTCTATGTCCAAATAAAGGAGGATGATTTATAATATCTTATGCCAAGAATCCTTATACATATTTCGTTAGAGCATCTTCTGTGAGCGGCATTGCATCCGACCTCATCTAAATATGTAACAATAAATCGAACAAAATATCAATATGAGATTTATTTCTTCGTCTTATCGTTTTCTACTTCTCACGAGGCAAAGGGTATGTAAGAAAACCCTGCATTCAAAAGTAAAAACATGCAACAATAATGCCAAACACCTAAAACCTAAAACTCCATTATAAAATACTTTGGAGACATACATTATTCAGACACAATAAGAGTCTCTACCTTTGATTATATGCTGTTCTGGATGGCTATGTTGTTGATAATTTTAGTACCTCGCTGTAGAGTACGTGTCGAGCCAAGAGATTGAACCCCACAACGATGCTTGAGAAAAGGTAACTGCTCTATAATTAGAAAAGAAGAAAATTCTTTAATGAAATAATGGGTGGCAGTTTATACTGAAACTGGACAGCTAGATTTCCATGTTACAGTGGCTTGAATGATTGGAGGAAGCAGAAGAAAGCAGTGTTGGAGTAATAGGGAGATAAGAATATAAATTAAAGCATTTAGTAACAGATTAAAGAATTTCTGAATATAATGTGTCCAAATAATTTGTTCTCGAGTGTTTATCTTTTCTTTTTTCCTTCAAATTAATTGCTCTTGATGGAATAGAAGTGTTTATTATTCATGCACATGCGGTGTCAAGCATCGACGGCACAACATTTCTAAGTTAGAGACAATTTCTTTCAAATGTGGGCTCCAGATGCATAATTAAACAACTGCATTATTGGATAACATCAAGAAAAAATTGAAACTTTTACTTGCTACTTAGTCCTTTTCGTTTTATGACTTATGATGAAACGGATTTAAACTATATCTACACGTAAAGGAATTATATGGCAGGGCTTCCACTTCATGTAGAAGAGCTTCTGGAGAAAATTACGTTAAGTCAACTTTATCTAAAAGTTCTCTTAGTGAGATATATAAATCCAGAAAAAATTGAAACTTTTACTTGCTACTGAGTCCTTTTCGTCTTTATCATTAGGGATTTATCCATGATCATAATGCCCCAAACTTCAAGCTTCTTAGTTTTTGTTTTCGATTCTCCTATGCTAAATTAAACTATACGTTACAACTTACATCATTTTCAAAATTGTATTCTGCTATTTGCTAATAAGAGTTAATTTTGTAAGGTTCAAATTAATTTAATGACAGGACAATCAAATAGGGAGAACATATCTCAACTCTAATATTGAACCACGATATCTATATTACAAATGATAGGTACAAAAGTTCGAATTTTATTTTGGGACATGTAAAACTTCAAAATCGTCTTAAAATGATATTCACCTCTACCAATATTGTGCAAATTGAAATGTTAAGGAACTTGTTTTATGACTTATGATGAAACGGATTTAAACTATATCTACACGTAAAAGAACTATATGGCAGGGCTTCCACTTTATGTAGAACAGCTTCTAGAGAAAATTACGTTAGGTCAGCTTTATCTAAAAGTTTTTCTAGTGAGATAAATCCAGAAAATTTTCCAATCAGGTTCAAAAGCAATTTCTCAATTTTCAGAAGCAACTTCTACTTTTCAAAAACCTTGCCAAGCAGGCCCTAAATTTCTGGATAAAAGGTTACAAATGCGATTGGGCTAATTTATAAAATAGTCCCTTGGATGATAAACATCCAGGCCCATTTAGCAATTTGATCAGTAGGCCGAGGTAGTCCTTTGGATGATAATCGTTCAGTACCAATTAAATATTTGATCAGTTACAACTTGGGCCGATGTAGTCCTTTAGATGATAAACAGCCTAGACCACTCTATACACAGATCAAGCTTGCTGGTCCAGATTGAATTTTTTATGTAGGTAATGGAAGTCCAGGACCACAGAACTTTGTGTACTGAAAGAACCAACTTTCCAAAATAGTTCCTTCCTAAGGTTCCGTTTGATACACATTAATGTAAAAATGAGAATGAAAAGTATAGCCGTTACGGATCTCATACAAGAGATAGAAAGTCAAATATGGTGACTTGATGTGATGGATAACGGTTATATTTTTTATTTTAATGAACAAATAATGGAAAAAAACGGGGGCTAAATAAATGAAGCAACTACAATTGCCACTGTTTTGGGGAAGTAGAAGCAGAACGTTTATATTTTTTTAATCTCCTTTTTATTTATTTATTTATTTTTGTTTTACCTTTTACCCTTTTTCATTTTCTCTTTTGTATTTTTAAAATTTTAAATGGGGGTACAACGGTCTTTTTAGCATAGATATTGAAAATTTTGCCGTGATTTATTACAAAACAATTATGCTGTTTCCCTAATCCTTGACCAATATCACTAATCATTAAAAAAAAAAAAAGGAATAAAATAAGATAAAGCATTTCAAGTTATAAAAGTTTTCCTATATTAATAAACAAATAATACTACTATGACAAAGAAGTTACATTGTGTACACATTTCACAACATCATTAGACTGCATTTGCATTTGCATTTGCATCGCAATTAATGTCTTAATAACAATTTTTTCAAAGTTCAATTTTTTAAAGTATAAAATTTTGAACTCTGATCACTCAAGAAATTTCATTTGGGTCGTTTTAATATAATATTTTTAATTTGATGTTATCATTAAAAATAAGAATTGATCGAGTCTAAGTTCGAAAATGTCAAACATGAAAAGAAATGTACACAAAAATAAAAATGAAATGATAGAAAAGAAAGGAAAGAAGAATTGGTAAACGATATTGAAATTTCCCACGCGACTTCGTAAAATAAAACAATGTTGACCTTGTCGTTAATAGTCAAAATTATTTGATGTTCCTTTCACATTTAAAGTATCAAAATATTATTAATATAATAAAAAAAATAAAGAAAAACGATCAGCTTCTTTTTTTTTCTTTTTTTTCCTGATATACTTATTAATTAAATAGAACTGGACCCATTACCCCCTTTGAATCAGCAAGAAATCATCACGTCCTAGATTATTGTGAAAGTTGCAACAACAATTTGTATTTTATAGTTCAATTTTTTGTTTTAAAATTTAATTAATAACATCAAGAGTGAGTTTATCTCCAATATATAAGTATTTTGACATAGTCAAAGCTTTAACCACAATTACTTAAGCATGGATATTGTTCGAACCTCGTTGGTTCAACTTGGTAGATGATCAAATGACTCGTTGAACTAAAATAGGGACCTCGTAAGCATGTGAACTTAATAATATAAGTTTGTCTGATTGGGAGACCATCTTCTTGAACATGGATAAAAGTCGATCAACTATATTGGAAGTCACATATAAAAGAACATACAAGCTAAACATGCAACGAAGATAATCCAACGTAGCTAAAGTGTCGAAGTAGGATGCTAAAGTGTCGAAGTAGGATGAAGACTCACACAATTAGTCCTCTCGTTTGGCCCTCTATCCCCGTTTGACTCAATTAAAAAAGTTAATTAAAATTCAAATCAAAGTCTATAATTGAAATTTAAAACTTTTCAATTTTTCTAGAACTTACTAAAATTTTGATTTTATACAAATCAAGGGAGGCGAGGATGGAGAAAATTTTTAGTGGGATAATCGCACCGTTCTACATGATACAACAGTTGAATGGAAGGATGGGCCACCGATGAGATGATAACTTTTCATTTGATGATCGCACCATATCCTTCTAGAATTTTTCTCCCCGTTGGGCGAAGTAGAGGACCCCACATCTAACTGGTCAACAGTCAAATCGCGCTTCTTTAAGTGCCGTGGTGTTCGAGCCATTCACATGACATGACAAACTCCCCATATTTCCACCATTCCCTATTCTCATTCATTTCAGTTATCGCATACCCAGAAGAATCTCATAAAGCAAAAGGAAAAAATGGCCTACTTGCCGGATGAATCCGAATTCGACTGTTTCGAAAGCTTACCCGACCCGATTGTGCTCCTCATCTTCAACAACATAGCTGACATCAAGTTTCTCATTCGCTGTCGATCAGTTTCCAAGCGGTTCAACTCGCTTGTCCCTCAGACGGATTCAGTCCTCCTCCGTGTGGACAGGGTAATCTCCGCCACCGACTCGGAGTTTGATGATGGTGTTTCGTTTGTTTTCACACTCTTCAAATCCTTGTACAAGTCACTTCAGGATCTCATTTCGCCACACAGGACTTCCTTGCCTGACCCGACCCGGTCACAGAACTCTCCGACCCAGATCCTTCGCGGGTTCAACGGGATAAAGAACCTCCGAATCGAGTTGCCTTCTGGAGACCTGAGGCTCGAGAAGGGAACAACGATCAAATGGGTGACGAGATTTGGGAAAACCTTGAAGAGTTGTGTAATTTTAGGGTTCAGAAATAGTGTCACGGGTTCGGAAGGAATGTTGGATTTTAATGATAATGATGGCGCCGGTGCTGGACTTGGAGCTGGAGGTGGCCTGAAAATGCGCGTTGTATGGACTATAAGCGCTTTGATCGCCGCCTCTGCAAGGCATTACATGATGCTGGACGTGATTAGCGAGCAAAATCATCTTACAAATCTCATTGTAAACGACAGGGAGAACGAGGGAACTGTAATAGTAGACAAAGACGGACTGCAAGAATGCCGGAATTTGTCCGTAGAGGAAGAAATAAACGAAAGCAGCAACTTGACCGAAGGCGGATTGTGGTGGAGGACTAATAGGACGACAGTACCTGCAGTGACAATGAGGATGAGGCACGAGGCAAGAATGGAACTTTCTGGAGGAATGATAATGGAGGGTGCCACATTGGTGGTGGTACGGCCGGTGAGCGGGGGTGGGGAGCGGGGTGAGGTGGAGGAGAAGAGCGGTGATATTGAATTGGCCACCGAAGCATTCGGAAAAGAAGGAATTTATGCTGAGGCTGCAGAGAGATTGCTCAAGAGCAGAACTTACATTCTTGAAATGAACTCCTTTTGATTTACAAGTTTGAATCATCACAGTTAATTGTTTTTCGTCGTAGTAAATTTTGTTGGCTGATTTATTGGCCACTCAGAAATGTTGTAGTATTTGTAAATATTAACGCTGTCTTGTATTGTTTAATGATAAATTGTTGTTGTTCAGTTTGTAAGTAAAAATATACGAAATACAGAGTATTTGTCATTTGGCCGTAATTCGAAACAAGTAGTACATGTTCAGTGATGAAACCAAATGTAACAGACTACAACAGGTTAATAGCTAAAACAGGAAATACTAGGCATAGAAGACCTATAATTTTTATTATTTTTTAATCACATATTTCATCAACTTTTATCAAAATTTATTAGAAATCTTATTTTTAACAAAATCAAACAGAGACCGAGCATTACCGAGTCACATTATGATCGAGGCATGGAATAGTGAAGTCCTGAAACATTTGCAACTTATGCTTGATGATGTGAGTTGGGCATCAAGACCCAAGATACTCAAGCCCTGAGAGGCTTTATATCCTCAGCTTGATGATATAGGTTGGGTTTAGAGGCCCAACTCCAAAGCCTTCGTTAAACGCTAGTAGTATAACTTGAAGAAGATGAAAAGTTGCACTTCTGCATGTGAATTGGACTTGACGTTGTCTATAAATACTATCACCAATGTCGAGTTCGTGGTTGGTGTTTAAAAATTCCAATTACGAGTTATATAACATGTGCTTGCAAGTTGCAAAGAAGGTGACAATATCCCTAAAGTCCCGAAGATGTCATGTGAAAAGAAGGTAGAGAATAATTGCTCATATAGAAATTGAATATCATTTATCATTCGATTATGTCTTGCATCCTAATCAGAATGGTCGAATTTGGAGTTTTATGATAACTTAATCTTAACTAATTAGTTGCCTTTGGGGGAGAAAATGGAAGTAATTTTCTCGATAAACCTCAATGTGCCCGACAACAACTTGACCTCTTAAAGTAATAATGTGCAAAAGTCTATTAAAGGCTTCAATTGAGCAGACCATAGATTAAAGTGTTGAATTTAGTTTTAATCATGTTAAGAATCGATAATTACAATCTAATAAATTAAAAGAAACGAATTCATACCTGCGGAAGCCATAGAAACGAATTCATACCCGCGGAAGCTATTGTTGATATGAATAATTGTTGTAATAGCAGTTAAGATCTTCCCCTCCTTGCTCCTCACAAAGTAATAGCTATCAATGGAGAAGCCAATAAAACATCTGGAGAGGAGAGGGGACCTAGCCTTTACATATAGGAAATAATTTGAGCCGTCCCATTACGACTAGAATTCTAATTAGGGTTTATTTTCGGCCCACATACTTTAAACTACCACATAAAATTAATTACAATCCGTAAGGTGTAAAAGGCCCAATCGATCGCTTACTAAATTTGGCCCAAACACAAATATCATTATGAGCCATACATCTAACCCGTAAAATTTGCAATCCAATGTGAAGCCCACATATGGAATAATTAATTATTCCAACATTCTCCCACTTGGGCAAACATTTGATTGCCATAACAAAGTTTTAACACCCGTGTTAGATTACATAGGTAGCCACAAAGGTATAGCTCCAATGATGACACCTTACGTAACATGATCCGGTCCATCAAGAATATTAACACCGAACATGGAAGTCATTACACCAATTTAAGAGATGTAAGACCATTCCACAACTACAAATGTCAACATCCTTATCGACATGGATCCCCATCCTCCAACCAATGTGGTAGTATGTGGTATGAACTTAGCACCAAATGTGATCAAAACTGTGCTAACTCATATCGGTTCTCATAATGCTTCGAATCAAAATGAAGCCACGTGTCTTTAAGAGAGATTTATCTTATGTCTTTATACGTCATATTTCAAGATGCCAATAATATAAAAAGACATAAGTCAAATGCATGCTTAAAAATAGTTCATGGATAGGGAAAAATTTATTTTATTATCAGAAGGGGCTATACCCGAAAACATATGGGTTGCCTACGTACCCCGTAAAGGGATCAAGCTCAAAACGTAGTTCTTTATATAAATAACTCCCACTAACAAAAAATATCAAATGTTTCCACAATACCTATATTAGTAACATGTGTCTTAAAAACTTTTGGAGTGAGTCCCTTAGTCAAGGGATCTGCAACCATCGCCTCTGTATTGATATGCTCTATTTTTGTCTGTCCTTCTTTGACTCTATCTCTAACAACCAAATATTTGATGTCAATATGTTTTGATCCACCAGAACTTTTATTATTCTTTGAAAAGAATACTGCTGTATTGTTATCACAGTAGATAGTGATCGGTCTTGAGATGGAATCAACAACTTTCAAGCTAGAGATGAAATTTCTTAATCAAACGGATTGGACTATAGCCCCATAACATGCCACAAATTCAGCCTGCATAGTAGAAGATGCCACTAAAGTTTGTTTAGCACTTTTCCAAGAAACGGCACCATCAGCTAATGTAAAAATGTAACCTGAGGTTGATTTCAAATCATCTTGACATCCAGCAAAATCAGAATCTGAATATTCTACCACCTCAAGATGATTTGTACGTTGGAATGTAAGCATATAACTTTCAGTTTTCTTCAAATATCTCATAACTTTCTTAGCTGCTTTCCAATGCTCTTGTCCTGGATTAGACTGAAATATGCTAAGGACACTTACTGCGTAGGCTATATTCAGTCTAGTGCAAACTTGAGCATACATCAAGCTCCCCACAGTACTTGCATATGAGATCATCTTCATAGACTCCCTTTCTAGCTCATTCCTTGGACATTGAGTTTTGTTAAACTTATCTCCTTTTATGATAGGTACATCACCAGGTACACAATTCTGCATATTAAACCTTTCTAGGACACATCGTATATAAGCTTTCTGGGAAAGTCCCAATAAATCACGATTTCTATCACGATGTATTTCAATGCCAAGTACATATGAACCTTCTCCAAGATTTTTCATCTCAAAATTAGCAGACAACATTTTCTTTGTCTCATGAAGCAGCCCTAAGTTACTGCTAGCAAGTAGAATGTCATCAACATACAATACAAGGAAAATAAAATTTCTCCCACTGATTTTAAGATAAATGCATTGATCAATAGTATTTTCGACAAAACCAAGAGATGTCACAACCTCATCAAATTTCAAATACCACTGTCGAGATACTTGCTTAAGTCCATATAATGATTTGTTTAACTTACATACCAAGTTCTCTTTTCCTTTCACAACAAAACCTTCAGGCTGTTTCATATAAACCATTTCAGAAAGATCTCCATTCAAAAATGCTGTCTTAACATCCATTTGATGAAGCTCCAAATTATAGTGTGCCACAAGAGCCATGATAATTCGAAAAGAATCTTTCAATGAAACAGGGGAGAAGGTTTCAACATAATCAATGCCCTCTCGTTGAGTGAAACCTTTTGTAACCAATCTTGCTTCCTTTCGTTCAACATTTCCTTTTGAATCTAATTTACTTTTGAAAATCCACTTGTTATCTATAGCTTTAGCATCTGGAGGAAGTTCAACAAGATCCCAAACTTTATTCTTTTCCATGGAACTCATTTCATCTTCCATGGCAGCTATCCATTTATCTGCCTCAGGACTTGTCAATGCTTTATTATAAGTTACAGGATCAACAATATGCCCGATATTAAAATCGCTCCCTAATAAATATTAACATAATCATTAGGCAATGCAGATCTTCTTTCCCTTTGTGATCTCCTAACTTGTGGCTCAGGAACCGATCCAATCGTTGTTTGAGGAATTGGAGATTCCTCCTGGTTCCTCGGTTCTTCATTAACAGCTTCAATTGGTTGGGAACCAACTCTTTCCTGTATGACAGAAACTGGAACTACAACTTGATTAGGTTCAACAAGAATTTCTCTCAACGTGGAACTCCCAGTATCTCCAAAATCGTTCTCCAGAAACTTAGCAGTAATTAACTCCACAATTCTAGTGCCGCGATTTGGATAGTAAAACTTATATCCCTTTGATCTATCCGGATACCCAATAAAGTAGCCAGGAGTTGATTTAGGGTCTAATTTCTTTTCAAATGGATTATAAATCCTAACCTCAGTTGGGCATCCCCAAACTTTAAAGCGAGCCATACTTGGCTTACGTCTTGTCCATAATTCAAAAGGTGTCTTTGCAACAGCTTTACTTGGAATTCTGTTCAAAATATACATAGCTGTTTTTAAGGCTTCACCCCACAAATATTCAGGCAAATTTGTTCTACTCATCATACTTCTAACCATGTCTTTTAGAGTTCGATTACATCTTTCAGAAACACCATTCTGTTCAGGTGTCCCTGGCATGGTGTATTGGGGTACTATTCCACACTCTTGTAAAAATTTTACAAAATCACCCATATTTTGACCAGACTCGTCATATTTCCCATAGTACTCACCACCTCGGTCAGATCTTACAACTTTGATACTTTTCCCACATTGTTTCTCTACTTCCAGTTTGAAAATTTTGAATTTCTCAAGTGCATGTGATTTGTCGTTAATCAGATAAACATATCCATATCGTGAGAAATCATCAATGAAAGTTATGAAATATTTATTCCCACATATAGTGGAAAGCAAAGGTCCACTGATATCAGTGTGAATTAAGTTCAAAATTCCATTACTCCTAGTCGAACCCTTCCTCGTAGACTTAGTTAACTTTCCTCTTATACAATCTATACAGGTGTCAAAATCGGAGAAGTCTAAGGAAGGAAGTATCTCATCTTTTACTAATCTTTGCATTCTATCCTTAGAAATATGACCCAATCGCTTATGCACAATATAGAGGATGATTTACGAATTAAAGCCCTTTTCTTTGATACATTTGTAACACACGAGACATCACCAAAAGAAGCCAAAGATAATTTATATAAACCATCACATAAAATGCCATTTCCAATCAAACGAGAATCATTAAATAACTTAACCATTCCATTACCAAAATTAAATGTAAAACCACAAGCATCAAGTTTTGGTATAGAAAATTAATTCCGTCTCATCTGCAGTACATAAACTGTATTTTCCAAAACAAGATAAAAACCAGACTCTAAAGTTAACTTCACTACTCCTATGAATTCAACCTTCACTTGGAATCCATTTGCAACGCTCAAGCTTACTTCATTCTCACTTGGCCTCCGTTTGCTTATGAACCCCTGCAAGGAATTCGCAATATGAATACTAGCTCCC